AGCAGCAGCAGCAGCAGCAGCAGCAGCAGCAGCAGCAGCAGCAGCAGGTCTGAGTCTGCGGATGAAATCATGTGCCTCTGTTCCTCCTACCGGTTTCTTTCTCTCTGCCTGGAAGTCCCGCCTATTCTCTCCTGCCTAGCTATTGGACATTTAGCTCTTTATTAAACCAACCAGAAGACACCTTAGGCAGAGACACATCTTTACAGTGTAAAGAAATATTCTGGAACAGTGCATGTACCCTCACCTCTGGGCAGGATGTCATTTTAGTATTAATAAATTTTATTTTATTTTTAAGTGTGGGAAGTTTGAATTTTGAAATGGTATCAGGCTTAAAAATAACTACACAAATAGCCCTTTCCATATCTTCCTCACATTAACATGACAGAGCCACAGAATACTCCAGACAGGAAGTTAATGCTGACACAATGCTATTAAGCAATCTTTTGATCTTGCTTAAATGCTTCCAATTATCGCACTAATGCTGTTTTTTGGCTCAAGATCAAATCCAACATCATACACTGCATTTAGTTTTTATGTTCTCTTAATGTTCTATGGTCTAGCAGAGTACTTTGGGTTTTTTTTTCCCCCTCCTTGGTTTTTATGACCTTGACACTTCTAATAAGCCCCATCCTGTAATTTACAGAATGTTTCACAGTTTGGTTTTGTTAAATTGAGGTTGTACATTTACAAAAAAGCCACAGGAGGCAGGAGAGGAGGCCTGGTGATTGAAAGTGGCAGCTGCTCTTTCAGAGGAAGAGAATTTGGTTCCCAGCACATCCAACAGCTCACACCTGTCTGTAACTCCTGTTCCGGGGATCCTACGCCCTCTCTGGCTTCCGTGGACACACACACACACACAGAACATACACAGACATACATATACACATAAATAAATCTTTTTAAAAATGTCACAGGCATGATGCTGTGCCTACCTTGAAAGACATGGATAAATCCAGACCCACCCCCACCCCCAACAGAAAAAATAGAGCCAAAAATCCAAGCAGGGAGAGAAGAATCAGAAATCTAGGATTAGCAGTTCAGTGACTCTGTTTCAGGAATTAGCTGAAGATAAAGTTAGATTATAATCTTGAGAATAATCTTGAGAAACAGGAAGTTACCCTCTTGTGATTATCACTGGTATTTTCGGAATTTTCAATGACTCCCTCCCTACCCCTTATGGATTACAGGGTTGTGGTTTCTTCCCTTAAAAGCCCCTTCTCCCAGCTACTTGAGGTCAAACTCCTCCCCTGCCTGTGTTATGAGTCTTGGCCCCAGCGCTGGTACCTGTCAATAAATGTGATTGCAGCAAGGATGGTCTCTTGTGAGTTACTGGGGGGGAAGGGGGGTCATGTTATCCCGAGACTTGAGTGAGAGTTTCCCCACACTGGGGGTCTTTCAGCCTCACTGTGTCATCTCAGGAGGTAAATGACATGGATGCCACATGCTGTCACTGATGCTGTCAGCTTTCTTTAGTTGTTTATGGTGGCATTTGGCAGATTTTCCCCTGTAAAGATACTGTTTTCTTCTTGGCAGTTTCTGTTTTGTTTGTTTTTGAAACAGAGTTTCACTGTATCTCAGACTTGTGCCTTTGAGATTCACCTTATAGCCCAGGCAGGCCTGTAACTTGAGATTCCCCTACCTTAACCCTTTCAGGTGAGATTCCATGCTGTAGCTAGGCACCTCGTCTTGACCCAGTGTTACTGGCGGTCAGACTCTGGGTCAGGTGTTTTCAGATTCTTGGCCTCTTATCCTAGTAATTAAAAGAAAGGCTTGCACTGGCTTGAAAAAGTATTAAGAAAACTTTATTCATAAGTGAAATCATAGTTCAGATCAGCAAGAAATACCCAACATAACAAGAAATAAACAGTGAGAAAATGCTCAAGTGTTGTGGAACAGAATATTTGTTTAATTATGTAAAGATGTTGCATTTGGGGTTGAAGAGATGGCTCAGAGGTTAAGAGCATTGCCTCCTCTTCCAAAGGTCCTGAGTTCAATTCCCAGCAATCACATGGTGGCTCACAACCATCTGTAATGGGGTCTGGTGCCCTCTTCTGGCCTCCAAGCGTACACACAGACAGAATATTGTATACATAATAGATAAATATTTTTTTTAAAAAAAGATGTTGTTTTACCTTGCCTGCCTAAGGCACCTGATTGGTCTAATAGAAAGCCAAACAGCCAATAGCTAGACAGGAGAGGAATAGGATGAACCAGTGGGCAGAGAGAATAAGGAGGAGAAGGAATCTGGGCTTGAGAGAGAATGAGGGAGAAAGAGTGTGAGACACCAGGGGCAAGTCACCCAGGCAGCTGCCATTCAGTCAGACACATAGGAAGAGGAAAGCAGGACATAGTGTTGGACTCTAGTGTCCAAACCGAGAAGGAGTCGCCCCCAGAGACCACCTCATACACCATAGCCGATGCAAAAGCATGAGAATTTTATTAATTCTGTCATGACAGGGTCCCCCAGCATTCAGGAAGCTGAGAGACCCCGACTAGCTGGTACAGTCTACTTTTAAAGGAGAAGGCCCTATAGAAACAAGAGGGGTTTTTCCTTGACCATTATGATTGGTTTGTTCGAAAAGGGCTAATATCAATAATTGACTGGAGAACTATTGTCAGATCAGATGAGGTAAGAGGTCATTTTGACCCCGTTTCCCAGGGGACTGAGTCAAACATACGTGTAGGGTAATTGTTCAGGAACCGAGTACGTGCATGTGTAGCTGTTAGGTCCTTGGTTCCCAGGGGAGGAGGGGAAGCACTGAGGCACAGAGGCTGAGAGGGTTTGGAATTGTCAGAAATGGCTTCAGAATTGTCTAAAATCTTACATTCCCTCCTCTTATTTGGTCAAATATCTCAATCTTGAGATATTAGTAAATTTGGGGAACTAATTGGATCTGTACACAGAAATTAACAAACTAGTGTTGTAGGCCCATCATAGATCAATAGAGGACCCCAGGCCCTGTTGTCCTGGGACTTGGGAAAGTTAGGTTTGTCCCCAGTTGCAGGACATATGAGAGCTGATGTGGTTGAAACTGCCAGATGAGGCTATTTTCTCATAATAGGGAGGTCCTGCTGACAGGCATAGCCAGCAAGATTGTATCAAGCTGGAGTCAGTACTATTTAGCAAAGAAAAGTCTCCCATTATCAGACTAAACAGTCGCTGGCCTGTATTAGAGGTTGCCAGCAATGAAGCAGGGGTTGCAGAAGGGTTCTTAGCACTAGGAGTGGGGCCCAGGGCCCTGGCAAAGGGGGCTACCTCAGCAAGGGCTAGCTGGCCCTGGTCAGGCAATACTGGGTTGGGCCCTAGTACCATGGCCATGGGAGGTGTTACAACAATTCGCAGGGTAAGCAGAATTCCTATGTCTTTTCTTCCTGGATCATACAACTGTAAACCCCAAGGATTGCCTGTTAACCATTTCGTGCTTTTTGCTAACCCCCAACCAGGAGACATTGACATTGGTTTTACATCATCAGATAGCATAACAAAATACTTTAGGTCCCCCGTACTACAGAGTTTGCTTTCCCCCCAGACAAATATATCATTTAGAATATTTGCATGCAGAACAAGAGTTTCTGGGGGTTTGCTCAGTATCCTCCCAAGAGTCTTTTGCTAAAACACATAGGTCAAAAGTTATTCAGGGGATGAACTCCAGTGGCTAGCCTTAAGGCTTGCCCAGTCTCAAAGTTAGTCAGGGTTCAGGTTAAGTCCTAAGTTATAAACATCAGGGCAAAGATCAGCAAGCCTGGCAGAATCAGGCCTCCTTGAGAGGATTTTGGGTACGCTGAAGCTTTTATTTGGAAGGTCCTGGGTCGTCCTGTGGAGGTGCAGGCTTGACGTGAGACGCGTGGATCCAGGCTACAATATCATCCATTTTTAGGGCAGTAGGTGTCTTAAGAAGCAAGGTGTAGGGTCCCTTCCAGCGAGGTTCAAGGTTCTGGGACCGGTGTCTCCGGACGTACACAGAATCGCCAACCTGGAACGGGTGTGAGATTTCCAGGTGCCCGGGCTGGCGTTGGGAGGTTCCAACAGAGAAGCAGGGAGAGTAGCTTAGTCCAGCGGGCAGCAGCAGGACTAATTAGGGCCCCTTTAGGGGGGTCTAATCTGGCCAGCAGCAGCAGGCTCTGGTCAGATAGTACTTGGTTTTAAATATCATCTCATGTCCCAAGTCCTTCCCAACATCCATGGAGACAGTCCCATTGCTGGCCCCTGGGAGACAAGTGGGGGAGATGTCATATGTCCCTGTGCTCCACATGGAGCATTGTAATTTTATATTTTCAGGAATCACAGTATAAAAATCTAGCTTTCCCAGGTGGCATCTGTGTTCTGGACCCCCACACCCAACTATTTCCTCCAGGGGAAAATCTTCTGCCAGCCTCCAGGGGCAGCTGTGGGGGATATGCATCTCGGATATCCCAGGAGGCTAGCCCTGCTACTAGTTGACAGAAATCAGGGGTGAGGGCAGGGGTATCAAAGCAAGGGCTTGAGGAGACATGGATTGCAGGTATGAGCAGGCGGCTGCTGTTCTGGCTGCGGGGTGCTGTGCTTTTTTCATGTCCCTCTGGATACACCCCAGGCGCCAATTCTGGAACGAATGCGAGATTTCCCGGTGTCAGGGTGGCCAGCGATCTCTATGCCTGGGCTTGGAGATCTGGAGAGCTTTCAACGGCGCCTGCAGAATGGGTTTGTGAGCAGATGGGTCATGAGGGACCTTAGGAAGCCAAAGGGGGAGGTTCCCCATATTGGATCTACATAGAGCAGGGCTAGGGGGAGGAGCTGTGCTCAGTCTCCAATGCCCGTTCTAAGGCTTAGGGTCTTTATTATTCTTTTTACCTGTCTGAACTCTGGGGTCTGTATGCATAATGTAATTTTCCCCAGTCTTATCCTGTCCTGACTTTTCTGGGCAACAAGGTAGTTTTACCATAAATTCTGATTACCTTGGGCAGGCCAAACCTTGGGAAGATTTCTTCTTTGATCTTCTTAGTCATGGTGAGAAAAAGTTTCTCTGCCATCCATAGTTCGTATCAAAAGGCCGATGTACCTTTAAGAATACTGTTAGTTCCGTGTCCCCCGCCCCTCCTCATTGGGGTGGCACCAGTTGTTGCCTCTCTGAAGCCCACCTCCATTGACTAGGAGGCTTGCGCTTATTCGGGCCTGCAGGACTCCTCCTGCTCAGTCTGGTGACAGAGGGGTCGTTGCAGTGGCAGTGGCAGCGCTGGGTGCAGGCTCCTTGGCCTTCTCCCGGCCTTCTCCCGGCCAGGGACTCTGGCTGCTATTCCTTGCCCCTCTTTGCTGTGTGGCTCTGGTTAGCTCCTTGCGGTTCCACTCCTTGGGGTTCTGCCTCCGGTGAGGTGGGGGCATCCGCCAGCTTGCCTGAGCCTCTCCAGCCTGAAGTGCCCTCGGCGCCTGCCCCGCCTACTACCCTGGGGCTGCTCCCACCTGGCTCATTGCTGTCTGCAGGGGCCTTGCCCAGCCAGGTGGCAAAGGCTGAGAGCAGCCTGCTTTCCCTGCAGGGGAAACAGCAGGGGGAGTGAAAACAAAAAGGCTTTTGATTCCAGATCTACAGTTCATAAGGTGGTTCATTGATAACATAGAGTACTCAGTCTATAGTCAAATGTTTTAGACACAGCAAAACGGAATTCCTCCCCTTCACCCCCCTCCCCGCCCCCGTACACCCCAGAATCAGACACCTGGGTGCACAGCGTAAGCAAGCGGGGGAATTTCAGTACTGTCACTGTGGCTGTTGCGTAGGCCTCTCAGGCTGCATTCGTTGCCGGTGCCATTCTCCGACAGCTCCTGCTCAGCAGCTGCTTTGGGAAGTGTCTCAAGCCCAAAGCCCTGTAGGGCCATTCCTCCTCATTGTTTTTTTTTTTTTTTAATCGGCCCAGGTGGTGGCAGCTTAAGTCCATATTCAGCCATTCAGGGGCTGCTCTATCTGAGGTGCACAGTCTCTGCAGCTGTCGTCTTCTGTTGCCTCCCTCTCTGTCTATTTTTTTTTTATTAAGTCCTGGAGGGGAGCATCCCTGCAGTCTCTCCATTCTCTGCAACTTGCTACAAATGTCTGATGCTGACTGGCCTACAAACGACATCATTACATTGACTAGGCGATCTGCCTGCAGGAATGCTATCAGACCTTTGTACTATTGCTCTTACCTTAGCCAAATTAGCAAATTAGTGGGGTGCTTTGCAAACCCCCTTTTTAGACCCGCCAATCAGAATCTGGCATTAAAGACGGAGCTGCTCCCTACCAGCTGGAGTATTGAAGTCCCATTTGGGTCAAGTCAGAGGGAAAGCGTCCCGTCCTCTATCATTCCGTGATTGGGTTGGTCTGCTGTAAGCTTCTGGGACATTCTTTTAAACTTTAAAGAGAACTCACTGTTTTTCCTCTGTGGTTAGGAGCACCTGTAAGAGCTGCTGGCAATCATCCAAGTGGGCTGATGGTAACCAGAACAGAATCTATAAACCCAGTCATGGTTTGAGGGTCCCAAGAAAAAGAAGGGTTATAAGTAAAGATCAGAGGCAGAAAAAAGCAGTGTTGTAATTGACCTGCTACTGAGCGAAAGGGAAATGCTTGGGAGGTCACTCTCTCCCTAGCGGATGTCCCTCCCCTGTCCCAGCGTAGATGCTAAGTGCTGAAGTTTTCAGAGCTAGGACCAGACCAGCGGGGGCTCCTCAGAAACGAAGTGTTTCCTCCAGGAGAGGAGAAGGGAGAAGTCTGCCATGCTTGGCTGGATAACAAGAAGAACTGGAGGTGCCTGGATTCTGGGTTTCTTTCACTCCTGTACAGGAAAGAGAGAAGACAAAGGGCTCAAGGAGGGGCAGCCACCACATCACCTCCTCCAGCTACGGGGCTGCTTTCAGACTCAGGAGAACTGATGATGGCCAGGGGGCCGTTGCCAGGTTCTGAATTCCTGCAGGTGGATTTTATCAAAGACAAACTGACATACAGAAACAAAAAATATAAAGAGACAGACACAAACTCAAAACCAGAAGCTGGTGTTCTCACCATCACTCTGGTGCAGAACTGAAAATACATAAAAACAAAAAGACAGACATAGACTCAAAATCAGAAGCTGCGCGACAGTAGATCCAAAAATACAGATGGAGGATCACGCCTCCCCTGAAGATTAGGGCGACCTGGTCACCCTTCCCTCCAGTAAATGCCCATGAAACATCTTTCAGGGCTAGGGCAAGGGATCTCAGGACACGTCTGCCTCCTCCCTTAGCCCCGTTTCAATACAGACCCTGCACAAGTACAATTCTCAAATTACTTATTCATAATTACATAGAAACAGAAACATAATACATAAAGAGACAGACATAAAAATGAGTTCGTTTCTTTATACCTCCAACTGGGTCTAGAGTGTGTATGGGAGCAACTCGATTCCCAATCAGGGAACCAAATGTTGGACTCTAGTGTCCAAACCGAGAAGGAGTCGCCCCCAGAGACCACCTCATACACCATAGCCAATGCAAAAGCATGAGGATTTTTATTAATTCTGTCATGACAGGGTCCCCCAGCATTCAGGAAGCTGAGAGACCCCGACTAGCTGGTACAGTCTACTTTTAAAGGAGAAGGCCCTATAGAAACAAGAGGGGTTTTTCCTTGACCATTATGATTGGTTTGTTCGAAAAGGGCTAATATCAATAATTGACTGGAGAACTATTGTCAGATCAGATGAGGTAAGAGGTCATTTTGACCCCGTTTCCCAGGGGACTGAGTCAAAACATACGTGTAGGGTAATTGTTCAGGAACTGAGTACGTGCATGTGTAGCTGTTAGGTCCTTGGTTCCCAGGGGAGGAGGGGAAGCACTGAGGCACAGAGGCTGAGAGGGTTTGGCATTGTCAGAAATGGCTTCAGAATTGTCTAAAATCTTACAACAGAATGAAAGAAAGGTAAAAAGCACCAAGGCAAAATGTAGATGAAGAGCAACAGGTTAAAATAAATTATCAGGGCTGGGTGGTAGTGGTGCATGCCTTTAATTCCAGCACTTGGGAGGCAGAGGCAAGTGAATCTCAGTGAGTTCAATGCTAACCTGGTCTACAAAGTGAGTTCTAGAACAGCTAAGGCAGTTACATAGAGAAACCTTGTCTCTAAAACAAACCAACCAACAAACAAAAAGTTATAAGCACTTAGTTTACAAGGCTAAATTAGGGCCGAGCATTCATCATTAATAATACATCTCCATGTCATAATTTGGGGACTGGCAGTCCAAGAAAGCCTGCTACACTTAAGAGCTCCAATTATTGTTGTTTGATGCTTCCTTTCCTGTGGTTGACGTGAAGGAGCCTGGTTTCTAAGTGTTGTAGTGCAGGTGGTCATTGTTCCTCATTGTGCATGCAGATGAAGCTAGTCTAGGCTGGATCAGGCCCATAGTTGCCCAGTGTGTTTTCGGATGTGTTTGAGTAGAAATATGCCATTACTGGGGGATAGTTCAGGGAAGCAGCCCATTTCCATTGCTTACAGCAATGTACGTGGAGCCTGATGCAATTGGGGGGGGGGGGGGCTCAAACAGCGAACAGGTTGCCAGAGGCACTGTTCTAAGAATGTGCCAGGTACATGTGGTGAAAATCTCAAGCTGCCAAATGCATTATGGGAGGGGTGTGTGCATGCCCTAAATCACATTGATTCCCAGATTGATAAGCCCCCCCATGCTTGTCCTCCTGCCAGAGCATGCCATAAGTACCAAGTTATCCACCCCAACTTCCTCATTGGATTAAGCAGCAACATTGTAAGGCATAACTATTGTACACACCACACACAGACACACAGAACACACAACAAAGCAAATCCCCAAACCAACTACAGCAACAATCCAGCAGGAAGCCAGGAACCCCAGACGCTCCCCAACCATTTCCCACCTTATATACCAAGGGAAAAGGTTCAGATTGTGAATATCTTCAACATCTTGGGTTGAGGTTGGCCAAGAAATCATCCATCCCAGGAAGGTTGTGAATGGATTGTCTGTGACGTTCTCCGACAGCATTATTGACACCCACTTCATTGATGATAACAGCTGAGGTGAGAGAGGGAAGGAGTTTTTCTAAGAGACAAATTAGTAAATTGGAGATCACAGATTGGCCCTCTAAAACTTCCCAATTTTATACCAGATTGTCAGGGGCCAGTTGCGACAAGATTACCTTTCTCCAGAGTGGAGGCATGGGGATCTAGAAATATAATAAGGAATACAAAGATGTGAACAAAAATAATAAAACACAGAAACACATAGGATAATGTTGGGAGGGAATTTCAGTGAGTACTAGAAATTCCTCCCTGTTTAATTTCTAACAGCTTAATATATCCCAGATTTCAAAGGGTAGGAGTAGAACAAAAGGACTGCATTAACATACAAATAGAAAGTCATGGGGTACATTCACCGCTTCTGCCCTTGACTCATGCCCTAGACCAAACACTCCGCAGACAGACCACTCCCTGGGTGGAATCCCTAGTTATTTCCATAAAGGGAACAAGAACCTAGTTGGTTCCTTAGACTTTTGTTTTAGGTTTCAGATCTCCCAGTGGTCTCTCACTTGGGCCCCAGACTTCTGTCTAATTAATTCTGTTTTGAAACCTCTACCATATAGTTCTCTTAATGCCACCATTGACCCAATTCAAAGCCCGCTAAAAACTTTCCCCCTGCCTCATTGAGATGGACAGAGCTACAGGCGTTTCTTATGCTCCTCTACTCCCAGTTGTACCTCCTACTCTGAGCCGGTCTGGGGTTACACTACAGGAGCTAGCCACTGATCCTTCACTGTTGTTATGGCTCCGGTATTGTTTTGGTTTTGTTTGGAATGTAGGTACTGGACATGTAGGAACTCCGGCCATAGGAGAGCTCAGTGTGCAGATACAGGGGTGTCACCACCCCCACCCCTCAGAGAGCCCAGACACTGTGAATGCCCAAACAAAGCTTCAGTAAGACTGACCACATTACAGAAATTAAAGTGTTTGGGAGCAGAGTGAAAGCAGCAACATTTTTATTCAGATGGAAAACAAAATGAGGAAAATCGGAGAACAGTTGACAATCTGTGACAATCTAGGGCACCTTTGTAGATGGGGCTTCGGAATCACCGCCGCAGTCATCGCAGCCATCGCCATATCAGCCACAGCTGCCACCGTTGCGGGAATCACCGTGTCCCAGTATGCAGCGACTGCAGAGACTGTTAACACTCTTGCTGCCCGTGTTACCCAGGCCTTAGAGACTCAAAATACCATGGACTCACATATTCAATTAGGGATGCTAAATTTAAATCAGCAAACAGCCTTATTGCAGGAACAGATTAATGTGTTGTGGATGGTGCAACAAGCTTCTTGTTCTCATTTTTATCATTCTGCCTGTGTGACCCTTATGGAAGTGAAAAATAAGTCCTTTGAGGTGCAACGCCTTAATGCTTACCTTAGAGGGCCTTGGAATGATTCCTTTGTAAACTTTACCCACTCTTTGGTACATCAGATTATTGCAGTTAATGAAACCCATGTTAAACCTATATCTGCTGAGGGATGGTGGAATGCCATGGCCCAGATTGGTGGTTGGGCACAGCGATGGGGAGGTGCCTTGTCCCTGGGGATCTTGGGACTAGTAGGGGTAGCAGTAGGTCTGCTCCTCTTAAAACAACTTCTAAACACCTTCACCAAGA